CGTGCACACCATCACGCGGCCCTCTTACGCGGTTCTCCCACGCGGTCTCGCGGCGCGACCTTTTCGAGCGCAGCTTTCGCGCGGCGAAGACGCGCTGTTCCCCTCAGCCCAGCGCGCGCACATGAGCGAAGTAAACAGTTCGGCCGCCCCTCAATTTGACAAACGCGTGAGCCACATATACGGATACATGTGCATAGGGATGTAATCCGCGAGCGCGGTACACCGCGTGGCACCACAGGCATCTTTGCGATAACACGCTGGCGCTCCCAGAGCACGAATCATTGAACAACAAAGCTATGACGTAGAAAACTGATGTGTATTGCACGTTATGATTACATCGCGTGCGCACGACGTTCGCACATAAAACTAGGCATGGAATGTATTGACGTACGAGTGGCACACATTGTGTCATGAGTACAGGCAACACGTACCATACAACAGCTTAGCTGCACAACCCTACATGGTGTTACATACGATAAGTGCGTCCACACGTGATGATATCAGCGCGTTGCTTGTATGTGCGTGCAGCCAGTACGCCCTAAAAAAGCAGAGAGCGAGTCTTGACTTGCGCTAGGGGGCTACCCAGCGCTGGGGCGACAAGGCACTAACACTCACAGGACCCGAACTGTTTTACATCGCACGCTGCAGCGACTGGCGTGCTCACGACTGTTATGCACGAGCGCAAGGGTACTGCACACTCGACCTATTTTCGATCAGACCCGGCATCAGTGAAAATCTCTTCCACCTTGCATGTCACACTGAAACGGACCTTCTTAAGAGGCCTCGTGCGCGGAATGGACGGGGCGGACATGGTGTCAAAAACACGAGCAATATGGGCAGGCATGGATTCCTGATCGTGATATATGTATTGCACACGGGATTCAATACTCTGCGCAGTGGGCCGACCTCGGCTGGAATCAGCAACAGATGGCTCTGACTCGCCAGTTCTCCCGATCTCCTGTGCCTCAAAGGCATCTGGCTCGGCGGCAAACTCTCCCGTGGCTGAAACTTGCTCTCCTGGACCACTTCCCCCTGCGACAGCTTGCTGAGGCCCCGCACGCACGGGAGATGATGACGGACGTGGCCTCATGTCGTCGCAATCATCCTCAACGTCGATCACGGCATCGTGTCCGTCAGCACGCGCACACGGCAATTGAACATTTTCAACCCTGGAACTCGAGCTGGCCGCGCCGAACGATGTCCGCTTGACGCGGCGGGTGACAACAGGCGGAAGGAGTACCGAACCTAGCCCGTCATTCACAACAATGTCAATATCAGTGTATTCCGACTCTGCATCAGAAGCGTGGCCCATGAAGGTAAACGTGGCGCGTCTGGAACGGTGCGTGCAAATGGGAAATCACCGAACGCCTATTCAGCTGAGTCGAAATGGCAAACGTATGCGATGTCTACGCGTGCAACCGTCGAGAAGCATATTCCCAAAGAGTGCTTGCATTTAGAGGTTCTTATGTGGCTTAACTATCTCAGGGTGTATGGTTGCGTTTGCGAACGGTGCCGCCCGTCACCGCCGCCGTCGTCGCCGTCGCCGTCGCCGCCGTTCGGGGCGAATTTTGCGGGCGGCGCCGCCCGTAGCCGCCGTCGCCGTCGCCGTCGCTGTCGCCGCTGCTCGGGGCGACTGGCAACGTTTGCGGGCGGCGCCGCCAGTCGCCGCCAGTCGCCGTCGCCGCCGCTCGGGGCGAGTGAGGGTTTTTGCGGGTGGCGCCGCACGTCGTCGCAGTCGCAGCCGCATAGACCGCACGACATAGATTGCATTGCGCACGTCGCACCGAATATATTGCATTGATGCACAGGTTGCACAGCGTAGGTCGCACGACATATATTGCACCGCATAGATTGCACCGCAGATGTTGCATCACATAGGCTGCACCTCGCATACTGCACAGCATAGATTGCATCGCAATGTTGCACCGCACAGATTGCAATACATAGGTTGCATCGCGTACACTGCACCACGTATATTGCACCGCATAGAACAGATGGCCAGAACCTTATATTCGGGGTACACGCTGGCTGACAGTCGTTTAAGCATATGTGCCAGGAACCGCTATACTGAATAACATCCCTGCTGAGTGCAATCCCGCCCAATGAGGGTCGAACAGGCAGGGTGGAGGGGAAGAAGAAGTATGAGGAGGACCTGATGGGCAAATAAGGGTGAGGAGAACGTGCACGTAGGGGAACCTCGTCGGGCTTGCAATTGGGACCGACGTGAAACCTGACCCAGACACGCAGGGCACGGGGCCGACTTTGGGCCGCCAGGTCGAGCCCGTTCGGCGGCAGCGTTACCTTCGGCTGCCGATCGCGCAACCCATGGCGCAGCAACTCGCAACTCGGAGAAAGTAATATCTTCGGCGACTGCAACCCGTGGCGCAATGGCATGGCTTGACTAACGGTTGGCGGCCGAGTGCGCAACCCATGGCGTAAACTGAAGGATCCGTAGGAGGGGCCAGCTGCATCTAACGCGGTGGGGCGGCGTCCTAGCCCCCCCCCACACGCCCCCCTCGATACGGGCCCCCTCGTCTTTTCCGGGCTCTATGCAAGGGCGCTCTCCAAGGCAGCGGGGGCGAGCGATGGGCGGTCTTGCCACCAGCTGGTCGATCAGTGCGCGGAGGGGCCAGGCGGCGGGCAGGAGCAAGGAGGGGCGATGAGATAGGGGCGTTGACCGACCCGCTGGGCGGAGAGCATTACGAGGAGCAGGGGGAGCTGAGTGAAGGAGTAGGGGATGAGTGGGAAGGAAGGGGGCGCCTATTGCAGAGGCAAGGGGGGGCAGTGAACGATTGTGACGGACACGCGGATTCCCACGTGAACGTGCAGCAACACTATGCATCCGCAGAAGCTGCAACGCCAGCGGCGGACGCTTACATCCAACAAACGTGCCCCCCTTCATCCTCCTCATCCTTCTCCTCCATTCTCGTGCGACCCGATGCTGGCGCGCAGCGGGGACCTAGTAGCCCATGGGGACCATCCGAGACTCAAGCCCCTCGCCATGATCACGCGGGCGCTCCTCGCCCGCGAGATCGGCGCCACCAGGCAAAGCGAGCAGACGGCCACGAGCATCTGACCGAACTGCCAAGGGAATTGTCATAATAAAAAACCGTTCGCGATGCTCTTCCCTGGTAGCAAAATCCCGGCGGGCCTCCAACCAGGCAGCGAGCAACCCCAGGGGCCTCCCGTTGGCCTCAGCAGTCCCCTCGGCCCGATGGGAGGCCCTCGTGAGCCGACACGGGTTGCCTGCATGCTCGTGGCCAGCGCATTTACACACAGCTTGAAACCTACCATCGGCATAAAAATAATCAATCCTGGAACCGTCATCACCGATGAACACGCATATGCTCCTGGGGTCATCTGGGGCTGCATCGTGGGCCTCACCGTCCTCAAACCACTCGGCGAGGTCAGCGATCGGGCCCCCCCCTGGGCCCTCCTCGCCGCTGCTGACAGCCTGACAAAGTAGGGTGCGCACTACCCTGGAAGATTCGAATCGGGGGCCACGCCGAGGCTTAGGCCACCGAGTTCGATAATCATACGAATGGGAACGAGGAGGAAGACGCGAGGAGAGTACGAGGACGAGACGGAGGAGGAGGAGGAGGAGAAGGAGAAGGAGGAGGGCGTGAGTGCCTCATCGCCGAGGTCGCTCTCCCCCTCACCACGCGCATCGCCGTCGGCCCCCTCCTCGGGCCCAGGATCCACGATGGCCTCGTCATCCTCGGCAACGGTTGCCCTGCGAGCTCGTTTGGCACGTGATTTGTTCCAAAACTCAATGGGCTCCGAGCTCCAGTCATATGGTCTCACAGTGCATTCTTTAGGCAGGAAGCGTGGCAAAAAGGCATCGTCCTCCTCGCAACTGCGGTACCACCTGACAGAATGTGTCATGGAGGTGTCCAAGAGGTCGAAGGCCCGGTAATCAAAGTAGACGTCCCCAGTGGCCTTTGCCAGACATCTCTCATTCGAGGCACTGTTTGGGGTTTGGGGCACACGTGCGGGGGCGCGCGTTTGTCGATCCCCAGACAGTGCTTGCTCTAAACTCTAAACCCAAGATGATTTCCCACACAGAAGGGGGAGGTAAAATCTTACTCCTAGGGGGGGGGAGGCGCGAAAGTAAAACGTCAAAACGGATGCGGGCGCATCCCGCGAAAATCGTGAATATGCAAACGCGTTCCAGCACCAACAGTTGCAAACAATTAATCTGAATGCGGTGCGCTTATCGCCGAGAACACACGTCACGTGAGAATATACAGTGCGTTCCATCACCACCCAGTGCAAACATTGTTGGTGCGCTGATGGCCGAAAACACATAGCCCAATCGCCAACTCATCGTCCCTCTCGTTTCTGTTTCCTCCTCCCCTACCTTCGTTTTGCCCCTCTTTCTGCTGCCTCCCTCTCTCCTGCTCCTGCTCTTCCTCCGCCCCCTCCTCCTCCTCCTGCCGATCCCGTCATTATCCTGATCCCCAGTCATCCCTCCTTCCCCACCTCCCCCCTTCTCCCTCCTCCCCACCTCCTCCAATTCCTTATCCCTCCCTCCTCATCCTTCCTCCTCCTATTTCTCCTCCCCCTCCTGCCTCCTCCTTCTGACCCCTTCATCAGAAGCCACGGGGGGCGCTCGATCACCCTTTCCTGGGAGGCAAGCCCTGCGAGAAGGCTCAAAACAATGGTGGGCATCTGACGCCTGCAGACCATAAAACCTGCGAGAACACGATGTGTTCGACCGCTGCCTTCGCGATCTATGCGAGGGCCGCTGCGTCGTCAGAGAGGCGAGGATGTCTCGGAACCGTAGTTTCCTTAACCACGTGAGAACACGTGGAAACCATCAGCTTGATTTCGCGTATATATTGGAACCCTATTTTGTTGTTTCGGGGGGCCTGGCTTTCACGAAGCGTGCGAGGGGGCTGCCGAACGATTATGCTGGAAGTCGCATGAAGATGTGTCCGCATGCGACTCCCACCGCATCCGTGAAATCGGGGGATCCCCTAAGAGGCCCCCCAAAACACCTCATCCTCATACAACTGCCCCTCGCCGCCAGCGTCCACGCGGACGGTCATGGACGCGTGCGCGCTCCTGTGCGGCGCCCAAGGGTGGGCGCCAAGACAGCACCACCGCACGTCGCGACGCTCCGAGAGGTCTTCGCCGATGACGTCCTGCAGCTCCCGCAAGAAGTCTAGGTCGCCAGCGTGCTCCTCAGCCAGAGCCCCAGCCCTGAAGCCCTCGACTTTCGCGAGCCTTGCAGTCATCCGCGTCGCCCTTGAGCCCCTGCGGGTGGATCGACTGCTTCATGGAGCGCAGGAAGGCGTTCCGCATAGAGTAGACTTGGCGGCCACGGGCGGAACACAAGCAAACGCCAGCTTCGCGGCACGTCGGCTTGCGAACGGCAGGTTGCGGCGGCTCCTCGATAACAGGGCAATCGATGTGGATGATGGGCTGACAACGGTTGTCCCAATCCTGCATGATCGTATCTGTAGCTGGTGGGGCGATGACGCTGGCGGTCAGGGCGGACCTCTTGGGATTGCCGATGTACGCGATCACAGTATCGTGGCGGTCGGGGATGGCAATGAGAGCGTCCCGCATGGGCTCGAGCTGAGGCCGAAGAGCAAGGAACTCGGTCAACCTCTCTGCTCCCTGAGTCTCCGACCATCTTGCCAGGCACTGCATATCTGCATCCCGCCGCTCTCTGCGAAGTGATGATAACGAGCGAAGGTCATGTTGCATGGCAGCGACCATGTCGGGTAGACTAGTCATCGTCGGATCAGCCAACACCTTTGCAACCACTGACCTGGCACAAATGTCGGTGCTCAGGAGGTCGTCCCCCTGCAACGCCAGCGCTGTCGACACCTCAGCTTTGTGCCGAAGTGCCAGGGCTCTCTTCGCCGCTCGCTCCATGTCCTGCCTGGTCTCGCCGAACCGCGGCACGGCGTGAGGCTGGCCCGCAACGCCCTGCGCGGCAGAGCAGCGGGTCGAGAGGTCCGTCTTGGCGGCGTCATCGAGGGCGCGGTGCGCCAGGCTGTTGGCCGACGGGTCATTCTGCAACAACGCTCCGTGGGCACGATCACGCTGATATAGATTCCAACGGCTGGGGGCCCTCTGATATTCAATCGCCCTGCCCCTTTGAGGGCCTTGGCCAACGTCCAGGAGGTCGAGCGAATACGATGACCGACATCGGCTCTGCTGGACGATCCAGTCGGCGGCGAGCTCCTCGAACACCTCACCCTTGGTCTGCGCCCCCCTGACATGCACCCTTCTGCGAAACGATGCGTGCAACGACTCGATCCTCAAGATGCAGCGCCTGTCCATCCTGGCACGGAAGCGAAGCCGCGCTTGTGGATCGTGGGCCCTGTCCAGACAACGCCAGGCCGCAGGACCGCTTGCAGTCCTCACCCCCTGCGGTCCCACCCCCCCCCCCCCCCCCCCCCACACACACACACACACACACACACACACATACACACACAACACCACACACACCACACACACACACACACCACACACCACACACACACACACACACACACACACACACACACACACACAACACACCACACACACACACACACACACACACACACACACACACACACACACACACACACACACACACACACCACACACACACACACACACACACCCACACACACACACACACACACACACACACACACACACACACACACACACACACACACACCACACACCCGAATATCGAGCCCCCAGGGCTCTGGTTGGCCTTGGAAGACTTAGCCTGGCGAAGGACCCAGCCATATGCAGTTGTGAGCGCCGTCGTTATATGCAACGCATTCGGGCGATCCCCGTATAAGGCCACGAGACGTGCGAAGGGTGTGCCAACAATTGTGCGGCGTGCCAACCATTGTCATAGAAGGTCACGGGGCTTGGGTCTAGGGCCCACAGGTAAGATCGGCAAGACTCGGGGCCGTTCGCGCCATAAGACATCATGGTCTTCGGCTCTACGTGTTTCTGGGGGGGCAACCTACGAGAATGCGGATCCTGGTTCCTAGTGAGCGTTGCGTCTTAGTGTACGTGGCCTATGGCCACAATCGAGGTATTGTGCGGGGCACGCTTGCGGGGGCGCGCCTTTTGCAGATCCCCAATCAGTGCTTGCTCCAGGCCAAGGAAGGACCAACACACGGGGGGAATCGAATTGCATTCATAGGGCGGGGCGCGCGGCAGTAAAATACTTCGAGCCCCAACACGGATGTGGACACACCCCGTGCGAATCTGCCAACGCGTTTCGGCGCCAACCGTTGCACACAAATATGTTCTGGATGCGGAACGCTGCAGCTGATGGCCGAGAGCGCGCCTCGCGCGAGAGAATGTGCAACGCGTTCAGATACCAACCGTTGCGAACATATACGTTGAATGCTGCGCGCTACAACTGATGATCGAGACCGCGCATCTCAAGTACCCCCCTGCGAAAGCGACGCAATTACTGCCCCGCCTCTCCCGAATCTGAAATTCAACGAATTCTGACGGGCACCTGCTCTGAGAGCAATTGCAAGCCCGTCCGACCGCAACCACAAACGAGATGCCCCACGCAGACAACGGCTGGACATCCGAATGCAAGGTCGATGATGCTGCTAGTTTGCTAGCCGCACTTGCCTGTGCCCCCGATGTGGAGTGTGGTATGAGGGCAGGGGGGGCGCCTCAGCGCGTGGGCCCCCGAAATGCGGAAACGTTTTTGCTGCCGCAGGGGGATAAATTAGGTACCTGTAAAAACTAGTAGCTTTGTGGCTCGACCTCCCGCTCGAGAAATCAGATCCCGAGCCGGTGGCCCAGCCTTCTTCCCCACGCCCTGCCCCAATTGGCCTGGCGAAGGGCCCAAGTCAGATGCAGTTGTGATTACCGTCCTTGTACGCAACGCATTCGGAGGAACTCCCTGTAGCATAGGGCCACGAGGCGCGTGAGGGGTGTGCCAAGCATTGTGCGGTGGGGGCGTGCGACGGCAGCAACTGGGGCCGTCGGTGGAATTGTTTATGGGGCCACGAAGCGTGCGAGGGGTGTGCCGAAGTAGGTGCGGCGGGCACGCGCGACAACATCCATTGGGGCCGTCGGTGGAGTAGCCACCATGCGGGCTGCGACACTGGGACCTTAGGTGAAGCCCCCTATGGGGCCGCGAAACGTGCGAGGGGCGTGCCGAAATAGGGCGGCGCCGCCATGCGGACGGCGCCATTGGGACCGTAAGTGGAGCTCCCGATGGGGCCACGACGCGCGCGAGGTGCGTGCCGACATGGGGCGGCGTCGCCATGCGGACGGCGCCGCTGAGACCTTGTGTGGAGCCCCCTCTGGGGCCACGACACGCGTGGCGGATGTGCCAACAAGTGCGCGGTGCCGCAATGCGGACGGTGCCATTGCGACCGCGGGTAGAGCCCCACATGGGGCCACGAACCGCGAAGGGCGTGCCAAAATGGGGCGGCGGCGCCATGCGTACAACGCCATGGGGACTTGAGGTGGAGTCCGCTTCTGGAGCCACGAAGCGTGTGAGAAGTGTGCCGAAATGGGGCGGCGCCGCCATGCGGGCGGCGCCGTTGCGACCCTCGGCTGGGCCCCCTATAGATCCACAAAGCGCGTCAGGGATGTGCCAAAACTTGTGCGGCGCCGCCATGCGGGCGGCGCCATTGGGACCGTAGGTGGGGCTCTTTGTGGGGCCACGAACCGCGTGGGCGGTGCGCTGAAGCATGGCGGCGCCGCCATGCGGACGGCACCATTGGAACCTTAGGTCGGGCCCCCCACGGGTCCACGAAACGCGCGAGGTGTGCCGAAATTGGGCGGGGCCGCCATGCGGACGGCACCACTGGGACCTTAAGTCGAGCTCCCGATGGGGCCACGAAACGCGTGAACGGTGTGCCCACATGGGTGTCGATGATGGTGGCGGTAACGAAGATGGTGATGACGATGATGGTAATGATGACGATGATGGTAATGATGACGGCCATGATAATGTTGTTATCGATGATGGTGGCGATGCCGCTGGGGAGGATGAAGATGCCGATGATGATGACGGTTGGTGATGGTAGTGATGATGTGATGATGTTGATGGCAATGTTGATGATGATGGTGAATATGATGATGCTGCTATTGATGATGATGGCGATGATGATGGTGGTGGTGGTGATGGTGTTGATGCTGCAAGTGATGGTAATGATGATGATGCTGCTAATCGTGATGATGATGATGATGACGATGATGATGATGATGAGGAAGAAGGGAGGAGGGGGAGGACTGGGACTGGGAGGAGGGAGGAGGGCGGAGGAAGGAGGGGGGAGGAGGGATGAGTGAGCGACCCGAAGCAGCGGGCACATACTATACACTATACCGTCACCTATTTTGCACACGCACTGTCTAGACCCCCCACCCGCCACTAAGTCTGGGGCTGTTCAGGGCTCTGGAGGTCCTGCAGGGGATGTCTATGGGCATCCAATGGCAGTGCCCATCGGCACGCCACTGGACTCGAATGAGCACCCCCCCTGGAAGCGGGGATCTCGACAGAACACCAGAGGAGCCAGAGGGGCGAGCAATGGCCAAGACACCTGGGCAACCTGGGGCCCCAGGGAAATCACAACTATACCTAGTAATGGTGGCGCTCGAGCCCAGCGGGCCCTGACAGGGCCCCATGGAAACCGGGCGATTTTTAGATGGGCCCCATGGGGCCCGCCTGCGACGAATGCGGTGCAATCTTAGGACCGACGGGGCGCATTGCGGCACTGAGGCCGACGCCTTTCACCCCCCCCTCCCCCTCCTTCTCCTCCTCGTCCGGTCCGGGCGACAGGTTATCTTGATAAGCGGCGCAGGAGTCTAAGGGCGCGCTTGAAGATGGTTTGAACGCCATGTACATACCTACGCCGCAGGAATGCAATTGGCGCTCAAACCGCCTTCTTCGAACTCTAAGCAGGAGTGGTCACAAGTTTGTCCCCAACCATCCTGCGGTGTTGGGCCCTCGTTTTGATGAGACAGCGCCCCGCGTGCCAGCTTTCTATCCGACAGAGGGCGGGTTGCGCCCAGGCTGTTCCCCGAGTCAACGGGCCACGGCACGCGGGCGTGCGCCCGTTGTCCTCGACGTCCCTTTCCTTGTACTCCCCTCTCACTCATGGCCCGTGGCCCTCCCCCTGCCGCCCCCCAAACCATATGGTACTGCCCCCTTTCCCCTGAGCCCTACCCAAACGGACGCTCCTCCTCCTCCTCCTCCTCCTCCTCCTCCTTCTCTTCCTCCTCTTCCTCCTGCTTCTCCTCCTCCTCCTCCTCCTCCCCCTCCTCCGCCTCCCAATCAAGATGCCCTGAGCACTATGCTCCACTTGCAGATGGGGCCCTCCAAACGACCCTGCGGCCTGAGCCCGCCAGGAGCGTCGATGCACTGCTCAGCGAAGTTCACGGACCAGTCGTCGAGCAGGCATCTCCGATCCCGAAAATCATTCTCAACCTCGAGAGCCTTCTCGTCGGAATGCAGGGCGATGAAGACCCTCGTTGAATACTGCTTGTGCCCATGAGCCAACGTTTGCTGCACCATGCACTCCGACGAGACGAGAGCTTTGAACACGAGGGCTCTGAACTTCCGAGAATGACAGCCCGCGGGGAGGATATTGGCCCACAGACTGTCGTGGGCACGAAGGAGCCTGACATCTCTGAAAAACTCTATCTCATTGAGGAGCAACACACATTCAACAGGTATGTATTCCAATTTAGCAGGTCCGTCAGCAGCTTCGCCTCGTGGCCCGAGAAGAAACCTTGCCTCTTGAATGAGAAACTGGAGGTCCTTGCATTGGCTCGCCCTGTCGATGTGCCTCTGCAACAGCCGATGGCACGGCTCCATGTACTGCCTGAAAATCAACGCCTCCACCCCCCACTATCCATTGTCCTCAATGAGCTCAAGGACAGTGCGAATCGAGTTGCTGAACTCGGCTCGCCTCCTCTTGGCCTCGTCGTCGGGCTGCCTGGCATTCGGAGGGGGCGCCGCTGGGTCTGGAATCCCTGCAACGAACGGCACAATGGCGGCGGCGGCGGGCGCTGGGGCGCCAACGCCCTCAGCCGCGGCAGCTGGGGCCGCAGCAGCCGCGCCGCCCCCGTCGCCATCTGCAGGCGCATCAGCACCAGGTCCATGAACGTGGTCGGGGTGGCCTGGCTCAGCTGCTCCGCCAGCCGCGCCGACGTGACCAGCTGCCCGACGGCCGATGCGATTCACCGCTGCAAAGATCGGGAAACATGCTGATGTCAACCCATGAATAGCCTCCATCATGGCGAAGATGCCGATGGCTTCGCGGTTGCCAGCGAGCCTGTGCCGCCCATGCATTGGCAGGGCGACGGACGCGAACAACTGAGCAAGGCCATTGCCCACGAACTCAGCCAGCCCAGCTTTGTCATATTCACTCCCAGCAGGGACATATATAGATATTCTCGAACGGTCTCTCCAATCACCATTGGGCAGCGTATGGCAGCACAGCAGCTTGGCGGCCTCGCGGGATACGTTGGACAGGCACAGCGCAGCCACGCGCCTCTTGAAGGCGATGGCTGACGCTGGTGGCCTGCCGAAACGCACATCCAGCATAGACTTCACCGTGTCGACAAGTATGCTCGAAAACCTGAGCATGTTGGTGCCCTCGTTGAGGCAGAGGCACAGGTGGATGCGTGACGAGATCAGTGATTCAAAATGCCGAAACGCGTGCTTCATACCCACGGTGATGATGTGAAACTCGCATTTGTTTCGGCTCAGTGTCCACCCCCTGCGTTTCCTCATGAGTGCCCGCTCAGACCTGTCATTGGCTGGATGACGATCGTGGGTGACGCACCTGGACTTTGTCATGAACTTGCTGGCGTGATCGCTTATGCAAGTTCTGTCAAGTTCCGCCGCCAAGAGGCATTCAGCAGTTGTTCGGTCGACAATCTGTGGTATCGTCATCGAAGAACCCGTAATGCTAAAGGTGGCGCCGCCGTGCTTGAATATCATTCCGAACCTCTGTTCGCTCTGCAGTACCTTCGTGGGGAACACGCCACGGCGATGCTTGACAAATGGAGACGCTGTGGCATGAACAAGCTGGACCCCAGGCGAAGCGTGCTGAACAATGGCAGCCCCAGGAACATAAGGTCGCTTAGAGTAGGCGACCTTGCGGGTGATCTTGATCGGCGTCTCGTCCGACCTGCTGTTGTCAACATACTCCAGAAGGTCTTCAGGGCGACACGTCGACACAATGTTGCACTCGAGCACGTGGCGGGCCTGGCGGTCTGCATGCAGGATCGGGCTGGCCAACATCGTAAGATCTCGCCCGACGGTCCCCCGCGAAACAGATGCATCCTGAGCAACCGACGTCTTGGACGTCACTCGACTTCGGTTCGCCGAAGTAAGACACAATTTCGCAACACGTCCAATCGCAGTGCTCAGGGGCTGGTGGTCGTCCACCGCAAGCAAGCTGCTCGAGAGGGTGTGGAAGTACGTCGCCAGTGGCCACGATCCGAGACCTGGCGCCGACGACACAGCCCGCATGACGGAAACACAATCATCTGGCCGAGGCTGCCGCGGCAACGCTCCTGGCCTCAACAACTCCTTCGAGGCCGGCCGTTTCGCCGCCCGTCCACGGCCGCCACCTCGCCCTGACATCGGCGCCGAGGCGCCACGTGCGCGGGGAGGCGTGGCGGAGATTGGACGAGCTGGGGCAGAACAGACACCGAAGCGTGGTTGCAAGAAAGGTTTGAGCCAAAATGGTTACGGAAGATGACGTGGAGACTGAAACAACCGCACACCTTATCGAGCGATGCATCGTTTCCCTGCCAATGAGGCATCCAATCATCAACGCCGCGGGGAACGCTCAATGGGTCTATGCACGGAGCAACAAATGCGTGGACGGAGGGCGGTTCTTTTTCAAAGGCCAGGGCTCGCTTTGATGTGCAACCTGCTCATCGTTGCCCCCGTCCCGCCATGTATGTTTTACACGTCGTCCCACTCATCATCCTTGCTCACCCTCCTCAGCCACTTGCCCCCCCCTCCCCCTCATCATCATCCCTGCGCTCCTCTTCCCTCCTCCTCCCGTGGGTCCTCCTCTTCCTCCTCATCATCCTCCCGCATGCGTCTTAATATTACAGTTCCTCCCCTTTGCCCTCTTCCTTCTCCTCCTTATCGTCACCCTCCTCCTCCTCCTCCTCCTCCCATTCCTTCTTTTTTCAGGCGTTCGCAACAACTCTTCGTCCTCCCCCCTGCCTCCTTTTTATCGTTGGGTTCCCCCTGCCTCCTCCTCCACCAGCACCCTGCCCTCGCCGTCTCAACGGCCGCTGCGCACGTCGACATCCTACCCCCCCCGCCCTTTCGAGGTGGACGTTCGAACACAGGTTGTTGTTTTTGTTGGTTCTGTCCCCCACTGCTCGTTGACCAGCCGTTGTCGCTCGCCCTCTTGGGGGGGCATGTTCGGTCGAGGCACCCAAGTACACTCGGACAATGAATACAGGAATCCACCCCGTTTCCCCTGATGAGTTTGGTTTGGGCATGAGGGGCTCGGGCCCAGTGCTACCCCTGCGAGAGCCGAAACCAATGGGCGATGGCGGTAAGGATGCAACCCCCTTGCAGGGGAGCAGGCGGCAAGGATGCAATGTTGCTAGAAAGGATGACGCAATGACGCGGAATGCGCCCACGTGGCGCCCAGTGGCAAGGATGCAATCCCCTCGGGATGCACAAGTGGCAAGGACGCAACCCCCTCGGGAGGCACAAGCGACATCCTCTCGGCATCCATCTGCCGTTTCGCGCGCACAAGTAGCATCCGAACAAGAGGATGAGACGGATGGGGGGAGGAGGGGGCAGGAGGTGAAGGAACATACAACCTCTGCAGGAGGATATGGCATTGAGGGTTGTGTGTATTATGGCACACGCATATATTATGAGAGATACACGAGACTCGCGCCCCGCCCTTCAAGGAACGGCGTCGGCCTGAAACCGCCTGCCACTTAGGATCCTGAGGGATAGCAAGTCGGGCCAAGGTCAACTCTGGCAATTCTCTCGGGAACGTATTGCTATTGGGGCACGTCTCACCGCGCTGACTCATCCTGACCGCCGACGGGAACTCGAAAATCCTGATCAAGTGTTCATCCTGTTCTCGCTGCAAGGTGGGATCTACAATATCCATATTTGCGTTGTAAAATAAGTGGTGTAAGCAATGTGGCGCACGAGATAGGTGGTGCAATCGATGTGATGGACGCGATTTTTCTCTAATTAAAATCGGCTTTCGTTTTGATTGTGTTTTTTTCTGTTGATTGTTTTTTTGATTGTTTTTGTTGTTGGGCCTTGTGATGTAATTTGATTGTTTCTGTTGTTGCGGATGTCTGTTTGCTGTGGGTTCTCCTGGGGGCCAGTTAGGTACACAGCACCTTCACGGTGATAGTCAACCCGCACCGTCCTGGGCGGGGTGGGGCTATCGGGTCCCTATCGGCGATCAGAGTGCGATTGGGGGCCTCGTGGGAGCCTCGTGGGAGCCGCTTGGGGGCCCATTGGCGCTTCCTCAGGTTTTTTCGGGGCCGAGTGCTCGAAATGTTCATTCGGGTTCCCCCTCTGGGCCTCCTCTTGGGGCCGTCCTGGGGCCCTCCCGGGTCGTTTTGGAAGCTTCTGGGGCTGTCTTGGGGCCTTCTGGGGCCGTCTTGGAGCCCTCTTGGAGCCCTCTTGGGGGCCTCTTGGGCTATCTTGGGTCGATCTGAAAGGCTTCTTGGGCCGCTGTGGGCGATCCATGCATCCCTCCCTACGTCTATCCCCCCCATCGTTGCCCCCGAGGAAGGCGAGGAGGGGCCAATCTTCGGGCCAGAACGCGGGACTCCGGCGGCCGCTCGGGACGATCCAGGCAGCCCTGGAGCGCTCTCGTCGAGGCGCAGCCGCTGGAGGGCAACCCCTGGGCGGGGACGCCGCCGAGGACCGACGAGGACGTGCGAGAACCTCAAGGCCTCGAACCTCGAAACTCGCCCGACCTGAGCCTCTCGTCGCCTCCCGGGGAAGGGCCGCGAGCTCCTCGACCACCCGCTGCGCCTCCGCCGGGTCCGAGGCCTTGTGGTCCCTGCTGACCCGCTGGAAGCCGCGGCGGCCGCCGAGCAGTACGGCCCTCGAGTCCCCCACGTTGGCCACGAAGAGCGTCGCTCCTGCGACGACGACGACGACGACGACGGCGACGACGACGGCGACGACGACGACGACGACGACGGCGACGACGACGACGACGACGGCGACAACGACGACGACGACAGCGACGACGGCGGCGGCGGCGGCAACGACGACGCTGGGGATGTCCTCTTTCCCTGGGCCGCCCCCAAATAAAGCTTGTGATGAAGAGCCGCTCCTGGGGATGGGGTCAGAGCTCTGGGGGGCCACGTCACAAGGAAAACTCATGCACGTGCCCCCACTTCGCCACGGCTGAATCCGCCCGAATCCTGATCAGAACGCGATCCAGATGAGGTCAGTGAATCGCCGACGACGACAACAAAGCCGAGGATGGGAGGAAGGGCAAGGATGGAGAGGAAGGCGGGAAGAGGTAGGAGGAAGGGGGAAGGACGGTGGAGGGAGCAGCAGAAGGAAGAGGAACACACTGTGAAGGTGGACAGCAACCCTCCTATGACAGTGCGGGCTGTTCACGTATGCGCTGACCAAGTGTCGAAGGTAGGAATCCCTGCACTGTAACAGAAGAGATTGGCCACCTCCTTCACACACCAGTGTACGCCGATTCCCGTTTCGCTGTCTCTGAAACTGTTGGGCTCCACCAGCCGCGGGTACCTTCCTGAACACCCTTGCTGCCTGCCAGCGGGCGGCGGTACGGTCAGCCCCTATAGTAAAGATGCGCGATGAGGATGCAAGGGTCTTGGACGCACGCTTCGAAGCTCTGCGGTCGGGGCGCGGCCAACTAAAGTGGCCAAGGATGGGCCGAACGGGCAAGGATCGCAAAGGTACCCTTGGGAAGGTTGCCCATCCTTACTATTATGCGGGTGGACCATAGGCCAGAATGGCATGGCCTTCGCCGCCCACGCTCTGTTTCTCTCCCGGTTGTTCTGACCACCGGCGCTGGCACCACCCTCTCGCGCTCCCTGGCCCCCACCCCCCAGGGCTTGGGTCATCGGGCCCGGGCTGGCCGTCGCCATCCCCTCCCTGTCCGTCCCGCCACGACCAGACCGCGCGCCCGCCTCTGTCCGCGGCGCCCCCTCGTGCACCCTGGCGCGGAGCCGTGGCCGGCCGGCGAGGTGCCACAGCCCGCTCCGCGCTGTCCCCCGTTGTGCCCCAGGGGCGCCGCAGGGCCCTCCCGGCCTGGAAGCCTCCCGAAGTGGGGTCCGAGCACGGTCGGGCCTGGGGACGGAAGAACATCCCTCAAGAACATGAGAGCCTCGGCCGGCCAAAACACCCCAAGCCAGAAGATCCCTCGAGGGACCCCCTCCCTCGGACGCACGCGAACATCCAAGACACACGAAGAACATTGAGGTCTTATCCCCGAACCGACCTCAATCCAATACCTCGGTCCAACCGTAGATGGGGTAGGAGGATCGCGCCGCATCGACGCATCAGCGACAGACAAAAGACGTCGGCGATGCATCGGCGACGTCGACGTGGAGAACATCGGGATCCACATCGAGCCGCATCGCCGATGGATCGACGGCGATGCGGAGCGATCCTTCGACCACATCTACTCGGACCCCATCTGGCAGTCCCAGGCCTCCTCGCGCGCCTGTTGCTTGCGCTGCATCCACTCAGCAATGCGAGCGCTCATGGCTGCGGTTTGCCTCCTGAGCCTGCGCCCAGAGCGCCTCCTGCTCGGCCAGAAGCGCGGCCCTGGCCTCATGGTCGAACTTCTTTGGAGCCATCGAGCGCGACCGCCTCCTAACTACACCAGCGTGTTCGCCGTCGCGGGCCGAGGCCAGGCCACAGGGCTCTGGGCGTGGCCGCCCGCTTCTCCTCCCGAGCTTTGGCTACAGCGAGGCAGGCGGCATCCAGCTCGTCGCGCGCCTCCAAGAGCTGCTGCTCGAACTCGAAATGCTTGCAACGCGCCCATTGCATCGTCCGGAACAGCGTGGGCGGCCTGCAGGTGCTGCGAGGGCGTGCGTTCGGGCGGCGCCTCGGGAGCCGCCTCGAGGGCTGCCGCGGCCGCCTCGAGGGCCTAGAATTTGCTGTCGTTCGCCAACGGCCCCACCACGCTGACAGCGGCCATGACCTGCTAGTGGCCTACTCCGTGACTTGCTCCGTGCCGCTGCGGTCGGCCCGCCACGGCGGTGCCGTCCACGAGGGGCCGCCCTTGCCGCTGCCGCCCTTGGCAGGCACGCCGCCAGCTCCCGTGGGCCGACCGCGCGCCATGCGCTCCAGACTCCACTGGGAGGTGGCGCGCGCCCATCCACTGCAACTTGAGCAGGCAGCCGCACGAGTAGCACCAGCTCTTCTGTGCGGAGTTCACTCCTCCTCCTCCTCCGCCTTCCTCTTCCTCCTCCTCCTCCTCCTCCTCCTCCTCCTCCTCCTCCTCCTCCTCCTCCTCCTCCCCCTCCCCCTCCCCCTCCCCCTCCCCCTCCTGCTCATCTACCGGAATCGTCCCACCCTCGCGACGCCGCCAGCGCGCGCGCACCGCCAGGGCGCCGTCCAGCCCCCCCCGCCCCGGAGGCTCCCGCGCTCTGCCGCCGCACCAAGGCCACCGTCGCCGTGCAGCCGCTGCTCCAGGCCCCCAGCATCTCCAGCTGGCGGTCGACCTTCCCGCGTGCAAGCAGGGGACTGCTCTCTGTTACTGCGAAGGCCTTACGGCCAGCGCCGCCGACCGTGAATGGCGACGACGACCCCAAGGGTTGGGTTCTTTTATAGGGAGGCCGTATCGGGGAGGATCTCCCCCCCCAAACCCCCCTTCTCATGGCTTTTGGTAGGGTTCGTGGGGGTCGCAGGGTGTTCCCCGCAAACCCCCTGGTGGGGGGGTGGGGGGTTCGGGGGCGTTAGTAGGGAGTCGCCGCCGCCCCCCCCCCCCAGGAGGGGTTCGTCCCCAGGAATGGTTCTGGAGAGATGGGTTGTGGGGGGAGGGGATTTGGAGCTCCGGGTACTGGCGGTAACGCTTGGGCGGGGGAAGGGATCTAGAACGCTCCTCCCCTCCTTCGTACGATCGTTACCTTTACCTTGGGGGGAGAAGGGGGGTCGGGCATGGGTATAACGACCGTTACGAGCCAGAGAGTATCACAAAATCTGTCGACCCCCGCTTGCCGAGCGTGGGAAGGCATGAGAGACATTTGCCTGTCCGCCTCCTGCGTTTCTCCTCCTCCAGGGTTCAAAATCCGATTAGGGCGGGAGGTCTCTGGGCTCCTCAACGCCCCCCTTGGGTCACTGGAGCCTCCAAAGAGCCCCCAGACAGCCCAACAGGGTCCACACAGAGCGCCAAGACAGTCTCAGAGAGCGTCGAGACGGCTCAGGGTGGCCCCACGACGGTCCAAGATGGCTTCGAGACGGCGCGCGAGGCCCCTAAGACGGCTAAAGAGTGCCTCCAGAGAACCGCCGAGAGAGGTCCAATAAGCAAACATTGCCCCATGCAACGTACATTTTTAGCATACGGGCAATGAGGAGGCCCCCATGAGAGCCCTAAGACGGCTCAAGATGGCAAGAAAATGGCTCCAGGGGCCCCGAGAGGGCCCCAGAGAGGCCCTCTTGGGCCCTAAGGAGGGCCCAAGAGGGCGAATTCGAACTGACAATTCGAGCATTTCCCCCAAGATGACCCGAAGCCCCCTAGAGGGCCCCGAGGCACCCCCAAGAAGCGCCAAGATGCCTCCAAGAAGCCCACACGAGGCCCCCGAGATGCCAGAATGAGCCCTCCAAGATGCCCATGAGAAGCATCCCAACAACCCCTCATATGCATCCACACGCCTTTTGATCCATTTCATTCCTTCCACGAGCGCTACAAGGTTTCACTGCATCCCCACACTCCGTGGACGCCCCCCCGGTGGCCGTCACGAGACCCCAACAACGCCGCGAAGCGGTTCTTAGAGCGCTTTATGATTGCCTCCCACAGCCTTCCCCGAGCCTTGCCCACAGACTCCCGCAGGCATAGACGCGGAGACCTATTGCCGCGCGCAGCATTGTCGGCCCCAGCCTTCTCCGTTGATATCTCCCCTCCCGGAGCCCGGAGTCCTGTTCGAGAAACGGGCGACGAACTTGCCGTTGTGCCGTCCAAACCAACAGAACCTCCCGACATCGACCGCCCGGCTCCGAAGGCCCCAAAAGAGCCGCAAAGGCCCACAGAGAACCGAGCCACGACCCAACGTATTCAGGCCGCAATGCTCCGACTGACTCCCGCGATCGCGCATCACTCTTCGTCGTTTCTGGAGGTCGGCAGGACGGCGCAAGCCACCTGAACAATCCCTCGGGGCGCAGGACACCGGGGCAGCAAGCGTCTTGGAACACAAACCGGGCACAAACCTCTTGTCGTTCTGAGCCTTCATGGGGCCCTCGCCAGGCCCAAGGGGCGTCAAGCAACTGCTCGGGATGACGATCTGGCACCGGGGAAGGGGACCAGATCTCTGGAGGTCCACCTTATCCCAGACCCACGACGGCGGAGTTCTAGGATCGGGGGTCGAGTTTCGAGACCTCCCATCCTGCTCGACCTCGTCATCCTCGTCCTCCTCGTCATCCTCTGCCCTCACGCGCTACTGGGACGAGATTACAGCAGCGACCACACCATCAGCGCTTCGAGTGATCCACGAGTACGTGCGGCTCCTTCGTCTCTGGGACTGGCCCTTCCGCAGAACGAAGCCCCAGGAGCCCCAGGTGTACAGGTGTCAGTTCATGTTACAGTCATCGGCCTGACCTGAGGAACGATACATGAGGAACGAACCCCCCTTTTTCCAGGAAAAGACGCATAAGGAACGACAACCAATACATTACGCATCAGAAGCAATGGATCTCACACGCAAGCCTGCAGAACGACCGAGACCCTTTTGAAAGGTAAGTGCTCCTTACTCAGGATGGGGTTCGTTGCCATGCCGGATGGGGTTCGTTGCCATGCCAAAGATGGCATCGGATTGCGAGGCTTTGAACCAGGCCTAGGACTGTCGAGCGACTTCGTCCCGATGTTATCAAATGTTTTTTTGTCCTTCCTCCTCCTCCTCCTCCTCTCCATGTTCACGCTCCTCCAGGTTCTAACTTTCGCCCATTGATCCTGATGTACAATTCTTGGGGGGAAGGCAACTACTGGGAGGATTCCGCCGGAAGGATTAAGGAGGATGAAGCCCCTTTGGGGGCTGTTAAGCCAGAGTGGGCCACGGATCTAGCGGGATCAAGCCGGATTCAGCGGGATCAAGCGGGATTTAGACGGATTGCGCGGGATTAGGGATGAAACTGGATTCAGCGGGATTTCGGACCAGGTCTAAATCAGATTTCTAGACGCTTCGCGTATCCCCACCAGTTAACACGCCCTCTGGACTTTTCTTTGCGGGCCGCAGAACAAAAAAAAAGTATCCCCACCAGCCCGTCCAGAAATGAGTCCCAGGGGAGTGGCGGTCCCGGGGGCCTCTTGCGTATATCGGGGAGCCGCTTGTGGCGTCTTGGGGGTCTCTTGGGGGCCTCTTGGAAGCCTCTTGGGGGCCTCTTGGGGGCCTTTTGGGGCCTTATTGGGTTTTTTTGGCGTTCTTGGGAGCCTTCGGGGCGCTTTGGGGGCCATCTTGGAGGAGATCTATCAATGAAGGGGAGGTCGTATAGTAGCGCTGCCCCTCTAAAGTGCCTCGAATCGCCTCTGAGGCCCTTTTGGAAGCCAAAAACCTTCAAAGCAAACCAAAGGAACATCAATGTGTTGTGTTTCTTCGCTTCTTCGCTCTTGGAGCCGTATTGGGACACTTTGGGAGCCCCTTGGGGCCTTTTGGGGGTCTCTTGGGAGCCTCTTGGAGGCCTCTCGGGGGCCTCTTGGGGCGTTTTTGGGGCGTTATTGGGAGCCTTCGGGGCGTTATATATATATATATATATATATATATATATATAATACGTTGACCGCCCCCCACGCGTTTGTACTTGCACGGGCGTGCTCGCGCCCGACCTTTCGCCGACTCGCTGTGAAACGGCACCCAAAAAGGACAGGCCACTAGTCCAGCGGCCTCGCGAGCGGACCTGGCGGCCCCCGCCAGGGGTGGCAAGTGCCCCTCCAGGAGCAGCAAATGCTCCCTGCACACGGGAGGAGGAAGAGGAAGGGGCGAAGAAAACAGCCGCCGGGTTACTCCAGGCAGAGGCCACCGCACGATGGCGGCGACTCGTAACTCTGCGGCGAGCTTCAAAGCGTTGCTGGTATGTGCCTGGGATGCCCAGGCGACGACAGTTATGAAGAGTAGCCAACGCATCGACACAAGCGGCATATAACATATTGGGAGACATGGGTGATGGTGAAAGCAGGAAGGGGAGGAGCCAGGGCGAACCCTCAGGAAACCAAGACGAGGAGATGAATAGGGGCCCAAGCCGATATCTGAACAGAGAAGCAAACCGAGGATAACATACATAGTGTTCAACGCTATCAAGATCACCCTCACCAGGTGCTAGGCATCCCAGGGCACAACCTGCAGGGCTAGATTTATATCGCTTGGTGGCGCAGGGACCGCGGCACAGGATACGTAAGGTTCCCACGAGCATATACGGCTGAATGTTCAGGAGCACGCAGTACGAGTTAATCCAGAACCGATCCATGCTGCGCTGTGACATCTCTGGGAACCATGCTGCAACTCGACGAAAGAGTGTCTGGCGAGGGTCATCTTTGGCAGGGGAGCTCTCGACCATCAGCATCTACGTTCACTCGTGATGGGATAGCGTAATACCATTCATGCAGACTGCGCATATAGCAAAGGAAACTCGACTTCCAAGAACCTCCTCATCATGACAGAGACATGCTCTGGATGATCCTCAAGAGACCGAAGATGCTCAAAAACAACGCCTATCCCATCATTCCTACTCATACGTCGGATACACGTCGCTTTGGCCAGGCACAGCAGGTCTTGAAACTCGACGGGCAGATGAAGCTTGCGCAGCTGCGTGCAGAAAGAGTTGGAGAACGAGTTACGAGGCCCAGACGTGAGGAACATAACCGCTTCTCGATAATAACTCAACGGGGCAGGAGACACAGGATGGACTTGGAGGATGCAAGAGAGCACCGAGACGAGCATCACTCTGAACGCAAATGCTGCTCTCGTAAGTCCCAGGCCAAGCTGACGGGCGATGCCGACACGGAACCTGAACTTCGGGAGGGCCTCAGACCACGCGCGACGGTGAGCCTGCGGGCCTATGAAGGCCCTGAGATATTTCACGCTGTCGACAACCTGAAGCAACCGGCAGTCCCCCTTCAGAACAGCAATCGAGTCGCGCATCAGACCTAGGTCGAGGTTACCTACGATGAGCACCTGGCATTTCTTGAAGTTCAAGGCGAGTCCAGCAATCGGCTCCAGAAGCTGAAGGGCACGAAGAACAGGACCCAGGGACGAGAGTGCATTCAGAAGCCCATAGCAAAAATCATAAGCATAAGCAAGCGTACGATCGATTTGACTGCTGCACTTCGCCTTGACCCACCTGAGTAGCGGATCCACCGCGAGCAAGAAAAGGAGCATGCTGGACGGACACCCTTGCTTGACCCCAGATCCCATGACAATCTTCCCGAACCTCCTCCCCCCCAGCACCGCAGCGGCAGTCTGCTCCTGACAAAGCAGCATGAAAAATGAAACGACGGCAGAGCTGATCCTCATTTCACTCAGCACGTGCAACAGCAAGGGAATCGCCAGCGACGGAAACGCTGCGCAGAAATCGGTGAGCAATAAACGCGCTTGCTCGTTCGCCAAGACATGTTGTTCTAGAGACCCGGCCTCTGCTTCGACAGTGTTGGCGATCATACCACGATGCTTCAAACACTTCTGGTCGGAGGAAACAACCTGCGAGACATGTGCAGCCAAAAAAATAGACATAGCCCCAGCGAGAATCTTGATGTCCGTGTTAGACATACTTAGCGGGCGAGTTTCTTTGGGACCTCTGGAGACCTCTGGACCGTTGTCACGAACGTCAGAACCTCTAGTGAGGAAAAGCATGAGGCTGCGACGCATGTCGGGCGGCAGAGACTCAATATTCCCATTGAAGAAACAGAAATAAATATCACGAAGGGCGGGCGCGGAAACCGGCGCCGACCAAGCTCCATGCGGAACGCTGTCTGGTCCAGGCATGCTGTGGCACAGTGTCCGAAGATACTCAAACAACTCCGCATAAGTAAGCTGCCAAGCTTCGGAAGGCAGCTCTGAAACCATCTGGATGTGCGCAGACACCTCAGACCACAGGGACCTGCCAAGAGCTTTCGGAGAGAAAAACTCGGACCAGTAACCCTGGAGAACCTGAGCAGAGTCTTCCAGGAAGAAACACGAGATACCATCAGCATCGTACACGCACGTAACATGCGTACGACTTCGAAAGCGCCTCCAAAGCTCCTGATACCTCTGAACCCTGGCCTGGTTGTGTTTCTCGTCTTGGGGTCTGCCTCGGAGTGTTCAATTTCCATATTCTCCTGGCCATGCAGCTGCATCTGGATACATCTAATGAGAGCACGCAGGCCAGCGACGTTCGTGCACCTAAAGCTCGTCATGTCGGAATGCATGTCAAGGGTAGGATCGGCCTTCAGCGCTTCCACAATCACCCGCTCCCTCCCAGGAATCCAACCTCTCTGCGCGTGCATGGTCCAGTGATGCTTCAGCTCTACCGTGGCAGCTGGGATCGTCTCGATATACCCTCGAACGTGCTTCATAGTGACAAACACATATGATTTAATCGTACCCAGACGATCCCAAGACAAATAAATGCGGGCAATCATGATCTAGTTCGGCAAGCAGTTGCTCTAGGTGGTTGGCAAATTCAGGATGCTTACAGATATGATTGGGGGCCCGTGGGGAACTCAGCAGACGGGCAGACGGGGGGGAACAGAGCAAAGATCGGGATGTGGCCGCTCGGCGACCTAGGCATGAGCTTGCCGCCCGCCCCACTGCGGATATCATAATCTCTCAGGATGGCCTGCGGCAGGGACGTATACACTCTGTCCAACCTAGAAGTGTGGACGATGATGCCGTCTCGGAGCTCTCTCCGCGTGTCGCACTCCTGATGTACTTCAGTAACCGTTGGAAGCAATGTGGAGGAGGCGCGAATGAGGGCGGTCACCGCATGACCATCCACTGCCGTCACCCTTCATCCTCCCCTCCTCCTCGAATGCAAAGTTGAAGTCGCCTATGAGAATCCGATGCGATTCATGTGCGGCATCGTAGGCCGAGCGGATCGCCCTCAACGCAGTCGAGTAAGCCGCAAGCGCGTCGCTCGTGTTGGGGAGGTGGACATTGAAAACCGTGAGGTTACCTGCAGGGCCCGAACAATAAGTCTGAATAACCCGTCCCGTAACCAGCCCATGATGATGAACTGAGGCGAATAGCTTCCTGATCTGAGGACCCAGGACAGTGACCACCCCGCCTTCTCCTCGAGAATCCTCAAACATAGAAAAACCGATGTCGTGCCCAGGACGGGGCCCATCCAGCTCCCTGAGGAGCTCTCCAATATCACCAAGATGACCGCGCGTTTCCTGCCCGCAGATAATCTGGAACTTCCGGGCCAGAGAGAGGAACGTCTGATTCCTAGCACCGGCGCGCCAGGAGGCCTGGCGGACACTGCAAAAGAGACCGTGAGTGTTTCAGCTGCAGATCGACAAGGACCCACGCGGGGCGAAGGGAAGATAATTAGAGGGGGAAGAGAGGAACTAGCAACACCAATGTCGCCCCCTGCACAGCAAGAGCGCGAGGGGGCAAAAGGAATCGCCCCGCGGCGGCCAAAGGCCGCTCGAGCGGAAGACAGCCTGCTTCAGCGCCTAAAGGGCTGCCGAAGCTGGATGGCGGCGGCCTCGCGGAAGGCCTCGGCGCGCTGGTGGGCCCCGAACTCTCTAAGGACATCGAGCTCGAACTTCATCTCAATCTTGTCCCCGTCGTCCACCGTGCGCAGCTGCGCGAGCGAAACTGGGTCGTCCTTCTTCCTTAAGATGTATATGCAGCCGCCAAGCCCGTTGCTGAACACGTCATATCCACGGGGTTTGAGCAAGTCCGTCATCGCAGCCCTGACCTTGCCCATAGACATAGCTAATTGGCGATGTTTGGAGTCCACATCTCGGCGAACACGAAGTACCAGCGGCGAGCTGGAAAGCGGGTCAGGATGCTGAAACCCACCGACAGAAGAGGAGGAGGAGGAGGAGGATGAGGAGGAGGAGGAGGAGGAGGAGGGGGAGGAGGAGGGAGGAGGAGGGGGAGGAGGAGGAGGAGGCGGAGAGGGGGAGGAGGAGAAAGGGGAGGGGAGGGGGATCGCGGAAGCCCCAACAACTGCCTCGGGCCGTGGTGTGCAGCGGGGCAGCTAACGGCAGGGCGAGCGAGAGGGAGCGAGCTCCTCCGGGCCTGCTGGCGGCCAGGGGTGAGCCAGGCCGTGGCCCCCGCCTAGGTCGGGCGTGTCCCCCTACAGGGCGGATTTTGGGCGAAAAATTGAACAGATTCAAAGGTCCTCCAAAATAGCCAAAACAAAAATACTCTAAGAATCGTTCCCTGACTATTTTTGTGGTATTTTCCCGAATATGTGCTTGCACTGAAGGTGATGCCGATTTTAGTAGCAGGCTGGGTTCCCGGTTTCCCGGGTTCCCGGGATCCCGGCTATTACTTCCGAGCCGATTTCGGTGGGTTCTGGGTTCCCGGGCTCCCGGGTTCCTGGTCGATCTCCTCAACGAAAACCATCCACTGATTCGGGTTTTTCTCTGGTGTAATTGTTTTAGGTCGGGCATGTCCCCCTACAGGGCGGATTTGGGGCGAAAAATGAAACCCATCCAAAAATATTCAAAAATGGTCAAACAAAATACTCCAAAAATCGTCCCCATATTATTTTTGCACTATTTTTGACACTCCTGTAGAGGGACAGGCCCGACACAAATATTGTTGCGTGGGGCGGAGCATGCATGCGGGGCACACAAAAAATGCTGCATAGAAGGGGGAGGGAAGGAGGGTCGGAGAGGAATCCTTGTTGTCGGAATCGTTGCGTGTCGGTGGTGAGCAGGGAGGCGAGCTCAAAGCAGTGGCAGTGGAGAGAGACTCGAAGAAGATGTTGGCTCAGATCAGACTTTCTCGCGAGGCGGTGCAGACGCAAGTCGGCATGAAGGGCAGCGCAGGCAGCAGCAGCAGCAAGGAAAAGTAGTCACACTCGTCTCGATTGCGGGGTCTCAGAGGATGCTTGAGATGCTGAGCACAGGGACTTTGAATGACGCCGCTTTCACCAGCCTCCAGTCTCGCACTCACCAGCCAATTTTGGAGCACAGTTCGGGAGAGTTCTTCATGTTTTATCAGACGGGAACCCCCGTGGAGCCCAGTCTTGATACGACTAACCTGCTTCAAAGGGCCTCCCAGGTTCGTCTAATGGCTAGTGAACTCTCCCATCCCCCCCGTTCTCGGTCACCTTCCTCCGCTCCCCTGTTCGCTCCGCCCCCTGCTCCGTCCCCCAGTGATGCGTCCATGTCAACACTAGGAGAACGGACAACGACATAAACATCACAACTCGGATGTCCGAGTGGATTTCTTGGATCCGCGCTGGACCCCCCTCCCTGGCGCGCGGAGCGCGCCGGGGGCGCTGCCGGAGGCGCCGCCAGGGGGCCCCAGCGCCGATCCGAGAAATCCGCGCGGACCTCCGAGTCATCATGTTATATGCCAATGCTCGTCCCCCTAACCTCGGGGTCAACAGCTGTTGCAGTGCTGAGGCTGCGACCTCGTGACTCGTGCCTCAACGCTCCAAGGGGGATAAAGTGCCCCTGCAAGGCCACGTGGGGGCCCGTCTTCCCCAGGTGTGGGCCCCCTCTCGGGGCAAAGAGGAATCCCGCCCCGCGGAGCCGCCGGTCACGCGCTACTCACAGCGCTCACCGAGCCGTTCCATGTTGCACATGTCATGCATGCTGTGCCAGCGTCGTGGAATCATGGCATCAGACCACTGGCTCGCAAATGGTCTTGTCTTGTCTTGTCGTCCTCATCCTCCGCACCCTCCTCCACCTCGAAAAAAAGTCCATCTGCCCTGACCTGCTCCTCCTCCTCCTCCTCCTCCTGCTCCTCCTCCTCCTCCTCCTCCTCCTCCTCCTCCTCCTCTAACTCGCCCTCCTCCTCCTCCTCAGCCTCCTCCTCCTCCTCCCCATCCCGCGTACTTACTCTTCCGTCATCCGCCTCCTCCGCCGTCCTTCCTTCCTCCTCCCCCCACCCCTCCTCATCCTCCTCCCTCCGCCCCCAACCCCCTCATCCCTCCGGCGACGACTGCGAAGATGACGACGACGACATCCTCAGAAAAACAGTTCCGTAAAGCCGCCCCAAGGAGGCTTTCAGAGACCCTCCTGTTGCGTTTCCCGCGATGTCCAGGAAATCCGGCGAATCTGTCGACGAATTCCAAGCTACTGGCGACCTCGCGTGGGACATCCTTAGAAAAACCGGCCCCCGGAGCCTCCCCAAGGAGGCCTCCGTTTCCAGCGAGACTCGGGAAGCCTGGCGAGATCAAGGACATCTGGCGAAGCATCCCAGACAACGACGACGACAACGACGACGGCCACCGGCCTTCTTGAAGGCCGAGGCGAGGGCGGCCTTCACGCCCTCCTGACAGTTCGGGCCGGGGACCATCGCGCGCAGCTCGGCGAGGACGACGTCGTGCAGCTTCTTCTCGCAGTAGTCCACCTCGCCAGGGCATGCAGGCAGCCTCCTCCTCTTCCTCCTCCTCCTCCTCCTCCTCCTCCTCCCCCCAAAAAACGACCCTGAGAAGTACCCAATCCATTTGCATCAAGTGATAAGAGGAGTCGGCCCAAATTTGCCACGACAATGACAGTACAGGCGCCGTTATTTGTTGTGCAAGCTACATGGGGTGCGCTCACGTGGCACGATTCACAGTATAACAACAGAAAGACGAAGAGGACGTGGGGGCGGAAACGGAAGGCAGAACAAGGGCGCACGGGGGGCCGAACCGTCAGCGCGGCAGCAGCAGAGAGAAGGTGGCAGGGGGCAGAGGACGACGACGAAAGTGACGGGAGGAGACCGAAGAGTGTTGCTTTTGTAGGTGGTGCGTTGAAAATGCAGCGCTGCCTGCGCCATAACGCTGAGGCGCTCGACCAAAAATATTAAACTGGTTTGCAGTTAGTGCAAGAAGCGAGCGAAGCCTAGCTCGCCCGCCAGCTTCCCTGCTTCCTTCCTGCACTTTCCAATGCGAGAGCTAAACGCTCGAAAGCGCGCCGCCAGGTCTGCGGACGGCCCGCGACAGCGCCCCGCTGGACCCTCAGCAGCCCTCAAAAGTGGCCACAGTTTCGCAGATCGCAGCCCCCCAGGGATGGCGAGGTCTTGTCTGAGTCTCGGTGGTGCCTCGCTCTGCTGAACCCCCCAGCAGCCCTCGAAATCGGCGACAGTTTGGCAGGTCGCAGCCCCACAGGGATGGCGAGGCCTAGTCGGAGTCTGCGGCGGTGCCTCACTCCGCTGAACCCCCTAGCAGCCCTCGAAATCGGCGATAGTCTCGCAGATCGCAGCCCCCCAGGGATGGCGAGGTCTAATCTGGGTCTGGGTGGTGCTTCACCCCGCTGGCCCCTCCAGCAACCTTCGAAACTGGCGACAGTTTGGCAGATCGCAGCCCCTCAAGGATGGCGAGGTCGAATCTGAGCCTGCGGTGAGTACCCACTATGCTGCCCCCCCCAGCAGCCCTCGAAAGTGGCGACAGTTTCGCAGATCGCAACCCCCAGGGATGGCGAGGTCGAATCTGAGTCTGCGGCGAGTACCAACTATGTTGGCCACCCAGCAGCCCTCGAAAATGGCGATAGTCTCGCAGATCGCAGCAGCGCCCCAGGGATGGCGAGGTCTAATCTGAATGTGCGGCGAGTTACCCACTATGCTGCCCGCCGCGCAGCTCTCGAAGAGGGCGGCAGATTCGAAGATCGCAGCCCCCCAGGGATGGCGAGACCTAGTCGGAGTCCGCGGCGGGTAACCCACTATACCGACCCCCAAGCGGCCCTCGAACGTGGCGGCAGTTTGGCAGATCGCAACCCCCAGTGATGGCAAGGTCTAATTGAAGTCTGCGGTGAATACCCACTATGCTGGCCCCCCAGCAGCCCTCGAAGGTGGCGACAGTTTCGCAGATCGCAACCCCCAGGGATGGCGAGGTCGAATCTGAGTCTGCGGCGAGTACCAACTATGCTGCCACCCCCAGCAGCCCTCGAAAATGGCGATAGTCTCGCAGATCGCAGCGCCCCAGGGATGGCGAGGTATCACTATGCTGGCCCCCCAGCAGCCTTCGAAAGTGGCGGCAGGTTCGCAGATCGCAGCAAGGCATGCCAGCTTCACACTTCGCAGGCCCCACGGGCAAGCCACCAGACGCACAGGAGAGGCGAGAAGGGGGCCGGGGAGGAGGAGGAGGGAGAAGGGAGGCCGCACTGCTCGATCCAAAACGAGAACCCAGACGCAGAAGGGTTGGGCAAAAAGCCTATCCTCGATCCCCCCCTCCTCGTTGGAGGCTCGATCCTCGCCTCCGCGCGGGATGCCCGCGGCGCCCCAGCAGGCCTCGAAGCCCTCGATCCTCGCCCCCCCCCCCGCCCGCCGGAGCGGCCTCCTGCCGCCCTCCGTGGCCGTCGTACACCGCGAAGAAGCCCCAGCGCACCTGCTCGCCGCGTCGGCCCCCGCCCTGCAGGAGGGGCTCCACGACCTTCGAGCAGGGGAGCAGCTGCAGAGCTGAGCCACGCACCCCGAAAGAGCGGCTCGTCCGTCGCACCTGTAAACCAAGACGTGCCATGGTCGCGCATGCACGGATAATTCCACGCGCTTGTTTGCAGACTCGACGGGGAACTCAATTTTGGGGTACATCAATTCTGTAGTTGATCCCCTGCTCGAGACCTCTTAGCGGCGCGAACGGTAGGTTCGTGCGGCGTCGGCGCGCGCAAAGGTTTCTGACACCGCGTCGATCGTTCAAGCTCGAAACGATCGCAGCCCCGATCGTTCCAGGTTAGATTCCGTCGGGTCCAGCGTCGTTGCCCTGTCCTTCGGTGCCGCTCGCAGGATTCAACCTTGAACGCCTTCGCCGCATGAACCTACCGTATAAGTAAGTAGGGGGAGGGGGGACGCTTCCTAAAAGGAGGTTGCTTGTTAGAAGGCGCTGGCCTCACATCTCCAGATGAGGCACGCGCCTTCTAACAAGCAGGGGTGTTCCTAAAAAACCTCCCCCCTCCCCAAGCCCCCCTCTGCGCGCGGCTGGACCTTGTGCCCGTCCTCCATGTGGTCCCTGAAATCCTCAGGGACGCAGTAGGACACACTGGTACGGTGTGCTGGTATTGGAAGCGTGCGTCCAACACGCGCAACTAGCACTGGAGCGGCATGGCCCATGGCCCCCGCCACGGAGCTTACAACAAAAGTTTTCTGAACATGCGTGTCGCCCTTGCGGGACAGACGCGCGCACACCAAAAGTATGTTTGGGTGGTGCCGATCCCCGCCGACGACGGGCGACCGACGACGCGCGACCGACGACGGACGACGACGGACGGCGGACGACTACGACGCCTCCTGGACTTCTGCTTGGGGAGGCGATCGGGGGCTCTGGAGCCTCCTGCGACCGTCGGGGGACCCTTTTGGGGCGAGGGCTCGGGGTGCTTTCGGGCCTTTTGGGGGGCTGGACCAGGCCGCCACCTTTCGTGGTACGTTGACCATGAGAAAAGAGGGGGGGAGGAGGAAGGAGGAGGAGGAGGAGGAGGAGGAGGAGGAGGAGGAGGAGGAGGAGGGAGGAGGAGAGAGGAGAGGAGGAGAGGAGGAGGAGGAGGAGGAGGGGGAGGCGGTCAATCCTCGTTGGGGTCCGACGCGAGGCTCACGAAGGCGGCCGTCTGCGCCGCGCCGCACATGCCTCGGGGCAAGCGGGGGGTGGCGGGGGGCACGACCTCGGGCCCCCTTCACGGGGCCCGGGGCGGATTGCGGCACGACGGGGGGAGACTTTGGAGGAGGAGGAGGAGGAGGAGGAAAAGGAGGAGGGGGAAGGGGAGAAGGAGGACGACGAGGAGGGGGCGGGGGAGGGGAGGGGGGGAGGGGATGAAGGAGGAGGAAAAGGAGGAGCAGGAGTTTCCTCGGAGTTCCCTGACACCCACAAGCCGGCGATTGCGATTGCGTGGAATGCGGTGACCAAGGGCAAGCATGCCTGGGCGCACGTAACACTCACCCCCGCACGGGGGAACTCATACCTGACTTGGGAGGGAGCCCCCGAGACAATCAGGACAAAGCCTCCCTCGAACGCGGCCCGTTGACAACTCACGGGCTGGATCGACGCCGAAAGACCCACGCGCGAGACAATACAACACACCCTGGCAGGTCGCCAGGGCGTGCGACTCGTGGTGCCCGCCACGGACAGCGCGGGCGGCTCGTCGCGCGGGTCCATCTCCGCATGGGGAGCCCTTTCCCCTGAAACCTGGCTGGGACACAAACCTGCTGCCAAAACTGAGACAAGGGCCCCTCCCGAGAGGAGGGACGAGAGCACCGAGAACACCGAAACAGAGCACTGAGGCGAGTGGCGCCATGACCCGCGGCCAGCAGCCGAGAGACCTTGGGGAAGGGGGCCTCGCGAGAGCAGGTGAGAAACACTTCGCGCTGAATGGCAAGGAGGCGCAACAGTACCCTCTCCGGAAGAGCGTCCGCATCGCGGCCAGCGAGGATATTCTGTTCTCCCAACTGACCCCTTCGGGCGTCTTCGCCAGCACACTGGTCAGCTGCATTATTCAAAATGAGCTCCATTTTCGAGATATGCATATTATCGACTTGTGCCTGGGGCCCGGGGATTTCGCCCAGCAGAGATCAACCTGGCCCGGGCGCATCCCGAGACGATGCCACACACGAGCCCACAGGTCCAGCATGATACTTTTACTCCTCGCGACATGCTCGGGAGCTTCCCGAAAGCTCTGCACCGGGGGAAGGCAGTCAGGGAACACCAGCGTATCACCTCCCGTGCCTGTGAGCACCATCAGCAGGGCGAAGAGCCAAGAACGCGGGAAGCTCTGACAGGGCGGCGGCAGTGTACTAAAAATACCAGCAGCCACTTCAGCTTCGTTGACATGAAGCATAACAGCACTCCACCCACGCCTCCTTGGTCTCCAATCCTTAGTCTCACCACCTCCCGATCCGTCATAGGAAGGGCCCCTTGGAGAGCTCCAATGGCCCAGGCCGACGGGAGAAGGGCAGGCAGACCATTTACGACCTGGTCAAGAAACATCAGCCCACGACGCCACAGGTAGGGGAGCGAGGAATTCTCCGCGATCACAATCGGAGCGAGAGACTCTGTGGCCTGGACAGCAGCATCGTCCAGGGCATGGATGGCCGCGCACTGCCAGAAGCGGTGCACGGGCGCCCCAGGCTGCAGCCCGCGCCTGGGATGCAAGGCGCAGGCGGCGCACCCGGCCCCGAACAGGCGAGCGTCTGCCCAGAATCCCGCCGCGCGGGCGTTACGAAGGACGGCCTGGGATGCACAATCGAGGTTTCGCCCAAACTGCTTCAACAATCGCCTCGGCGCGGAGAAATCGACGCCTTCCTCGGCCCCGGCGCCCACGCGGCGCCCAGCGGCTTGTTCCCCAGGCCCGGCGGGAACAAGTCACCAGGAGGGCCCTCCAAAGGTAAAACCGAAAGTCCGGGCTTCCAACGGCCAAGGCGAGGCCCAACTTGCCCTGCCACTCGCAAGGAAGGGTGAGAGACCACTCCAAATCGAGAAGGACGGCCGCAGTTGCCATCGCTAGCCCCCGCACCCGCCGTCAACGACAGTTAGCGGGGGTGCTCGGGCAGAGGTCGACCGCAACAACTCAAACATTCTTGACGCGCATGCGGTCTTGGAGGCCGAGATCTCGCCACAGGTCGGCAAAGCTGAGCAACTGCTCATGCCGCGAAGGAAAAGGAGGGTCGCCCGAGCAACTGGGCACCAGCGCCAAGACAGCAGTGGAACGGGAGCCTGAGGCCCACCGCCCAGAGCAACGGGCCGCCTGGCCCCTCGCAGTTTGCAGCTGGCGGGGGGGGGGGGGGCATGCCCACTTGCTGGTGGCCCTGGGCCCCAACCGACAACGCGCCAGGTTTGAAAAGGCTTGGGCGCCGTCTTACACGTGCGCGACAACGTCGAGACCTTGCCAGCGCGTCGCCGCGCGTCAAGCCTCCGCCGCTTGATCTCGGGCCCCCCCTCCTGCTCCCAGCCGTCGCGCAGGAAACCAAATCCCGAGTGCGCAACTGGCTGCGCATTGGAAGGCCAACAGCCTGGAGGCTAGAAGCGAGTTGAGCCTCCACCGCCTGGGAGGAACAAGCGAGAGCGCTCTCGGTGCTCAGCGCCAGGCCAAGTTGCTCAATCCCAGGCGCGAGACGAACAGCAGCTGGCAGCAAGTGCGCCTGGAGCTCCTGGTCCCAGCCAGCGACGTCCGGGGCAATGTCATCGACATAGGCCCTGGCCACCGCTAGTTGACACTGACAGGCCTCAAGGGCCTCATGCACGTTCACCTTCACCCAGGACATGCTCTGGGGGCACCCAGGCAGGGCCCCGCGACCCGTTTGCAACGTGCGCGACGCACTGCCATCAACTCCCAACATGCGCGGGGACGCGTGGATCAAAGCACCCCGGCACAACAGGCGGGGAGGGCAATGGGCCTCGAGGGCCAGTCGGATGAGCAACCGAGGGCAGACAGCATCGAACAACTAACTCATTCAAGTCCCAGCGGGGGGCAACGGACACAGCTCCCCCGTGGACCGCACATTCACGGTAGAGCTCGCGCACCAACGTGGCCTTCAGGGCAGGCGATCCTCTGGCCGCCGTGTCCCAGAAGGCAACGCGTTTGGCAGTCCATCGAACAACGTCCGCCCCTCTGGTCTCAGTGCACAGACGGTGCAGGGCGGGGCATTTGCAGATAGGTCGCCCATCGACCTGGGACTTGGGGGCAGCGCAGTGAGCCCGGGAAGCGTCTGCTCAGGCCACACCATTCGCTCTTCGCACAGCGAAGAGGAAGACGGCAAGGCATCGTCGCCTCGGATGAAAGCTCAGCGACCGCTCAGGGCTTCCGTCCGTCAACTCCCACAGCAATAGTGGCAGAGGAGAACTCACGAATCTGCATGTCCTCAGCCGCGATGAGGGGGGGGGGGGGGGGGGGGGGGAGCTCCCGAGCAGCCTCCAAAGCGGCGCCGCGGAGGTCAGACACGGCGGCCCCCCAACCCCGTTACCTCTGCAAGCGAAATCCGCCCCCCCCCCCCCGCGCGCGGGCCGATGGCCCATCATCTCTTCAGGCAACTGTTTCATACCTTCAGGGGGCTTGCAAAACTCAACAGCGTTCTTCCTGTAGCGCTTACACGAGGAGTGGGCCCCTCGAGCCCCGCAGGGAATGGCGCGGATTAGCCAGTCCGTCGGGCCCTTCCTGGCGGCCGCCTGGGCTTCGGCCAGGCGCTCTTCAAAACCTCAGCGGCGATCGTGACCTCGACCAAGCGATCCACCATCTCGGGGTCGGCTAAAGTCCAATAAGTGACTCGATTGGCACACCGCGGGGCAGGCTGGGCAGCGGGCAAGACGGGCGAGAACTCGCCAACCCGAGTGGCCATCTCCATGATCAGGCCTTGAACTCTGCACTCGGCGGAGTCTCGCTGAAGAACAGCGCGAAGCTCAAAGAACTTAGCGGAGAAACGCGACAATGACGCCAGAGTCGGATTCCGATGGGCGGTTACCCGACCCCCCTTATAGGCGATGGTGGGCGTGACCAGACGCAGAGCAGCAACCCCCCTTCCAAACTTACCTGCGTCATTACTACCGGTAGCAGCACAAGCGCGAGAGAGGAACGCGCGCTCAGTAGCACGAT